CGATCTTATTAATTTTTCAGCAGTATCTATACGTCTTTAATTCTATTCAGAGTTGCATCATGGTTAAGTTTAAAATAATAATAATAAAATAAAATTCATGGGAAGTTCTGCCTAGGTTTTGTAATTCATTTGGTAAACCTATGATGACTACAGATAGGAAGCTTGTGAAATATTTGGGGATTAGGGTGTTGAAATTTTGGGCACATTGTATTTGAGTTATTAGTTGCATAAACTGGAAGGACTCTGGATTACTAGGTAAATCGCATCCCACCGAATGTGTGATGACCTTTGACTTTTGTAATTATGTAGAGTATCTGACCATTGATTACTCTCTGTAGGAGATTTTGCAAATAAAATTTCCATGAATTGAATTTTACTTGAAACTATGAGTGGAATGCGCATTTAGTTGAATGATATTGAAACCGTTATTACATTTATTAGGAAATAGTAAATTTAGGTATGGTGATGGTAATTCATGCTCATGCTAGTAAGGAAAAAACTGTAAATTTACTCATCTGGAAAAATTAGGGAACTCTGTAGATCATCTTTAACAATTGTCTTTGTTAAAGAACTGTTGCATAAGTTGTGAAGGGATTCACTAACATTATGACAAAGTGTACATTTTTATTGATATACACTTTTTTTTCCCCCTCGGTTTCTTAACTTATGTTTCTATTCTTGAATCAACTATCTTAATTGTACTTCTTATGTGTGATCTGCTGACGTCATAGCTTCCTAGAAAATAATTTCTTTAATTGATGCTTGTTTCTTATCGTAAACTCGGACATCCTATTGGTGAAACCATAAATGATTTCCTATTATTGGCTGCCATATCACATAATACATACTACGAATCTTGATTAGCACAAATGTGTGTAGTTAAATAGTGTATTCTTGGTTGCCATATTACATACTCAGGTTTTTAATTCCTTAGCTTGATTAAAAATGTGTGATACTACAGGTTTTTAACTCCTTATCTTCCACTGTCAAATGACCCCAAGGATGAGTTGATCAGGGCCACCGATTAAATTTCCTAACATACATTAAAAGCATACCGAATAAAAATGCAAACAAGATGAGTACAAAACAGTAGTTATACAACAAAAGCCATGGTTCTTAGCTTCAATTAACATGAAAAGCTAATACAAATTGCACACATCAATAGTTTGATTGGATGTCTCATTATCAACAGAATGTCCCAGTAGAGTGAAATTAAGATATATGCCAAAATAATCCTAGAAATTGATACCTCCTGTATAAGCAATCCTCAGCTCGAACTTAAATAGAAATTACGTACTCATTTTTCCATAAGAGATGCAAGAATGAAGATAAAGGCAATAAGTAACAGTACAACTTCCTTAGAATGCTTCTATAAATATTGAACCTCATTAGCAAGACAACCAATTTAAAGTTTCATTATCTCAAACGAATTAATATATCTCCTGAGAAATTGATAGTTTTGATTATTTTTCTTTGCACAGTCTGACTGTAATGATGGATCAGAAGGAGGATATGGATCTGTATTGATTATTTCTGTATGCAGTTATTGTTGATAGTTTAGAATTAATGTAATTTATAGTGGTTGCCAATTTTTTATGACTTAAACATTGATTATTATAAGTTTTAACAGTAATGAGCTTGTGCATTATCGTAGTTGAGGAACAAAGGCTGTTAATGTGATCTATATGGGCATGGTAGTTATTTTGTCTGTATTGGTTGACAATGACATGAGAAGTTCGATAATTTTGTGGATGTAAACTAGATGTTGCGTGATGGATTCAATTCCCATTTGAATGACATAAGGGATTGCACATTCTTTCCTAAAAATGTCTAATGTAGATGAAAGATATGCGCTTAAGTAATGCTGATGTTGCCTGGATGTAATCTCTATATGAAACTATGAAATTTTGTTCATCAGGACAAAATAAAATGGACATATTGCTCGTAATCATTATGAACTAAGAGATCTCTAGCACCTAACGTGTAAAGATTTTCGTGGGTACATAAAACTGGGCTTGCTCCTAATTTCATGGAAGCTGTTTTCATTTTGCAGTATTGTTTTAGCTACTAATAATTGGTTTAGGGTAAAGCAAGCTATTTGAGCTACTTTATTGATGTTCCTTCAGTTCTCCAAGTTTTTAGTAGTACTGATTTCATTTTTGTTGTGTGCTTCCAAATTTTCCCTACCAAGTTTTGAGGGTATGTTTGTAAGCAATATTAATCGTCCTAGACAGTAAAAGTAAAAAACCATTTTAACTGCTTATTTAGCCCCTGTTTGGCCCTCATTTTCTAAAACTCATTTTTAACCACACATTTCATGGACCCACCATTATAAACTTTTCAACTACACATTTCATCAACTTTTAGCAAAATCTACCAAAAATATGATTTTTAGCTAAACCAAGGAAGGGCTTAATCTTGCTGGCCACTGTCCAGACCACCTTACCAAAAGGAGAAGGAATTATTGGACAGCTAGCTTGATCTTTTCTCAGTCTCAAGATTCTATATTTGTTGCCAATATTCAAAAGGTTTTTATTTGGCCACTCTGTCCCGTCTTCTAATTTTGAAGTAATCTTACCATTTATTGTTGAGCTGCTACCAATATAATTCATTCTGGTGTTTCTTTTTGGTCATTTTGATTTATAATGACAGTGAAACTATTTCAGGAGAAGCACAAAGAGAAAAAGCATAAGAAGGATAAAGACAAGAAAGACAGAAGTGAGAGGAAGGAAAAAGGGAGGAGTGAAGATAAACGCCGAGAAAAGAAAGAACGAAAGCAAAAGCAGAACGGAGACAGGAAAGATAAGGAGAAACATAAAGATAAATATAGGACTTCAGAAGAGAATCAAAATGGAGAGAAGCCTGGTCCAATTAGTGAACTGGGTAATACAATTCCGAATTCGAGAGCTTTTGTTGAATTGCAAAGAGGAGTTGAAAATGACTGTGAGGCGACACACAATCAAATGGTTGGGAAAATCATTCACTCAGATCAGAAAAGTGCCAGGTTGCCAGGGAGGGTGGAAGGGACTGATAAGAGAAAGCATGCAAGGATGGTTAATGGAGAGAGTCTCGAAATTAATGCTATGGGTTCGGAAAATGGTAGAGTTTCAATTTTTTCTGGAGAAAATCGAGAAAAGTTCAAGGGAAGTGCTGACCACAAGGAGAAGGGAAAGACTGGCGATGGTAAAAGAGATGGGCACAAGAACAGAAAGCGAGACAAAAAAGGTAAATCGAAGGACAAAGTGGGGGAAAGGGAGAAGGAAATGGAAAAGGAAAAGGAGAAGGTGAAGGAGACAAGTAAAGATCTGAGTAAACAAAGAGAAAGCAATTGTAATCTACTAGATGTTCATAACAAGCCATCAGACCTTTTGAAAGAGAGACATGGCAGCCAGGGAAGTCTTGAAAAACAGGAGCAGCCTGAATTAAATGGATTTTCATGTGGTGAGTGGTTTCCAGTGTTATGGCTTTGCCTTGTTCTTTCGATAATATATGGAAGGAGTAGGCATCCATGTCGTACTAATAGGTTAAAAACACTGGCTAAAATTTCATCTTGGTAACTAAACTTTATTTTTGGTAAACTATGTTTCAAGTTGGTCATTAAACTTTGTTCAATTTGGTTATTGCTTCCATTTATGACAAATTTGATCATTCCTTCCATGTTCGTTAGTTTGACTAATAGAAAAGCTGCAGTGACGATCTATATTTTCATGCACATTGTCCATTAGTCAAACTAATGGATATGGATAGAGTGACCAACATTGACCTATTTTGAACAAAATGAAGTTCTGTGACTAACATGAAAAAGTTAAGTGACCATATTTATCCCTCTCATCATCTTCGGGCGGGCTTACCATTTAGATGCTTTTAGCCATTATCTGTGCCACATCTGGCTACCTAATGATTTACCGTGGGCAAGATAAGTCATGATTGATGACTTAGCCCTTGTTTGAGCCATATTATTTCCATAAAAATACATTCTTGGATAGTATACTGATGAGAAATATGTGATTAAAAAATTATAAAAAAATTTGGATTTACGTGTAATATTATTTTATTGAAGAATGTACAGTTGAAATGATGTCAAATCACTCTTTAAGAATTCATTTTTTGGAAAGAGTGTGGGTCAAACAAGGCATTAGTCATCAATTTCTTGAATTGACATATTCTTAATTTGGCCTTTCATCTTGGGTATTTCTAGTGATGGAGTTTTTGGTTGTAGAATGATTATATTTTCTTTAGCTAATATTATGTAACTTATTTTTCTTTTTGCTACAGACAATGGAATCCCTCTTAATAAACTTCCCAGGCCTATCTATTTCTCTCATCAAGTCATACAAAATGGAATCAGCATAAATTCTTCACAAAATACTGCTAACTTGGCTGTGGAGAAACCGGGTGGATTCCAAAATCATGCAGTCAATATTAAGAACTTACCCTCTCTATCAGTTGGAAATGGAATGAAGCTTGAACATGGCCAAACTGCAAATCATTTCTCTGCCGAGCAGCGGGAAGCCACTATTAATAATGTGGTTACTAACAGCCTCGTCTCTTCCCACCCTGTTTCGCGAATTAGCAAAAAGACTGAACCTAGTCAAACTGCAAGTAAGGTATTAAAGTTGCAACAGAGGCTGGTCAATAACCACAAGGCCCAATACAAGGTTTCAACATCACTTCTAAATGCAGAAAGTGGAAGAATGGAAATCAACCAACCGAACATCCACAGGGCACAAGAGTCTNGTCGACGATTATCGACTGCGATCCAAACAACATCATTGATGACATTATCATCGATAATCATTGACCTATCTCATCAACATATATTTATTGCAACCACAATTCCCTATACCTCACATAATGTTGAAACCATTTGATTGCAATTTTCTTTAAAAAGTATCATACTTGGGAAGCTTTATAGACAAAGAAACCGGATAGTTTTTAGGGAGATGGCGATGATCGATTACAATCAATTTTTGATCCAGAGAAAATAGCTCGTTCTAACATTCTTTATATCATGAAAAAATACTACGTCGACATAATACCAAAATAATAAATAAATAAAACCAATCTATGACCAATTTTTATATTCTATTCATCCAACCTCATGTTTGAATGTATACAGCACTGTTTTTTTATTTCATGAAGTTATCTTATTGGAGTCGTTATGGGCTTGGCACATGGTTTACTTGGGAGAGTTAAATCCAAGATTTTTAGTTTTTTACCAAGGAAATACGGATGGTGACCCCAAATGGTCATGCCTGGATTTCACCTTTTCCTGATTTTTCATTTTTATTTGTTAACATATTTCTCTCGTCCCCTCCTCATCTATAAATAGACCCCTCCCAGTTGTAAACGATTTTCTCTTCCCTTTTGGGGGGTTTTCTTGAGAGGCGGCCTCGTATCGAGAATTGAGAAATCTTTTCAGGATCTGTGGAGAAAAACTAAAAACACTTACACTCAGAAAAATCCAATTACAAATATATGCTATTTATATATATATA